GAGAGGACCAACTTCACCTACGGTACATGCTTCTCTCCTCTTCCAAAAAAAAAAAAAAAAAGCACTTATGAAAAAAGGAGCCAGAGCTCAATTGCCCTGACAGTGCAGTTTTTTTTTTTGCTTGTGTTGGGAAATTTGTCATCACACTCCGACTTACTACCTGGAATGGGAAAAACGTGTCGACGCCAGGACTTTTTTCTCGTGCCTTTAATAACACACTTGCACAAACACACTGTCTCGCACACATACGAACACACACACCCTTTCTGAACTCTCAGAGGAGTGTGAAAGTGATCGCTCCTCCCTTGACGTAGATTATCATTATGCATATAAGGGGCCAGGCTCTCGCTCCTTTGCAGTTCCTTTTCCTTTACTTTCCTTGTGTTTCCTCCATCTCCTATGCTCCCCCCACTGTCTGTGTTATCATGCTTATTACACGCTCTGCATACCTCCCAGTTAATAGCCTCCTGCTCCCTCTCAACAGACACGGCTCAAACTGGGTTTATTTCCCCCCCCCCCCCCCCCTGTGGCCCTGCATCTCTGCGGTGAGCCGGCCCCGTCTCTATACACAGGTTGCCAGATCGCTGATCTGATTCCTAATTCTCAATTAGCCTGCACACAGTGGTCATTGTTAATTATTTACCAACTCCCTCAGCACCCTCGATGGATCGATGAGAACATTTTTTTATAAACAACGCCAAGGTGGACCGCAGCCGGGGGCCGAGTTTTGTGGCGCTTCCGAGGTTTTAATTCATGTTCCCTACATTTAGCTCTCTTTGTGTCCTTCCATCATGTCCTCCCTGTGTCTTCACCGCCTCACTCGGCTGCCGTCCTTTGTGTTTTCCATTATTGCTCAGAGAGTTGCCTGAGGGAGGAGGCGCAGTTAAGGCAGGTGTTATGTTGGGATTATTCAATAAAGGCAGACTTGCCACTGCATCACAACCGACTTGTGACTCTCACAGTCTATTCTTGATCATTCGCTATATGCTAGCTTGTTTATGCTCGCATACACCCACACACACCAGCCCCCGGGTCGTTATTGAAGCGTCTAATCTGGCTATTTTCCTCTCTGTGTGTGTGTGTGTGTGTGTGTGTGTGTGTGTGTGTGTGTGTGTGT